TAGCCCTTGTTAGCTAATGCTCAGTAAGTTAGTCCTTGTTAGCTAATGCTCAGTAAGTTAGCCCTTGTTAGCTAATGCTCAGTAAGTTAGCCCTTATTAGCACCAGAAATGAATGAGGGGGAAGGTCTTTTGTGCTTAGTGACTGTTTCAGGAAGTGCTGCCCAGCAGCAGAACTTGCTTGGCAGATTTTTCCAGTACCAGGGAGCAGCAGACGATAAGGAATGTGCCTCTGTGTGGTGGCTGAGTGGCACGTGAGCATTCAGGAGACCAGGGTGGCTGAGGACTTCAGATGCTGGGCAGGCATTAAGAGGAAGATGGTAGAAAGATGATTTTTTAAAAATGTGTGACCAAGAATAATTTAGAGGTTGTCAGGGACTTACGTAAAAGTGTCATCAAGTCTGACCAAGAACTCCAGCAGGGCCTTAGGAGAACAGTGCTGTTTTATGTTAGCCATTCTGAAGTTACTAAAACTCCATGGCCTACTTAGAAAGAGGTTGCAAGACAGACAAGGAGAAAGAGAACAAAATAAAGAATGGTATGAATCCCTATTTAACTGGTCACCATGGTTAACTACCCTCCTACCAGCCTTAGCGGGGCCCTTAGTCCTCTTACTGTTGGCTCTGTCCTATGGTTCATATATAATTAATACCATAGTCAGGTTTACCAAAAAAAAAAAAAAAATGTATTTCCACGGTCCAGCTGATGATTTTAAAACAACAATACAAGCCTGTAAACTTAGAAGAAACATCTCCAGGATTTGAGATGATGTACTACTCAAGGGGGGACTGAGACGGCCAGGCAAATACTATGACAGTTAAGAACTAGGCCAACCCCCTGCCCGCCCCACTCCCCCCCCCCAAACACTCACACAGGTAGTAATAACCAAATAAGGACAAAGCCTGGGATTTGTTCCGACTTGCCAAGAGTAGAAAAGCTATAGCCTTAGCCCACCCCTGCTGGCCCTAACCAATTAGAAACGTACTAATATGATTGCCACTTGTGTGAACCAATCCCAGATAGAATGCTCTCACTGCCTTAGGAATTCCTTCAGCTGTGTATAAAAGGAGCCTTCAAGCTTCTCTCAAGGTCCCATTTTGCATTTTTGTCAGACATGTGGCATCATCGGGCTGGTACTTTTACTCTAGAGATAATAAACACTCTTGCTGATGGCATATGTGGATGGTGGTCTTTTGTGGGATTTCTTCAGGACCCTAACAGAAATAGATAGGAGGAGAATATTTATTTTATTAATATGAATGTTGATATCAGGAGCTCTGGCCTTATGTCACTGGGTGCCTTTCTGTCCTTTCACTCGCTCCACCCCAAAAAAAAGATGCCCCAGCCAACGAGGAAGTGTGGGGCCAGTGCCTTCTGGTCTGCCCTGCCCAGTTCCTAGATAGAAAGTCAGCTGGGAGACCTCAAGTCCTCCCACTGTACCCCTGCATGCTGTGCTTGAGGAGATCTGCCTGGAAGGGGCAGAATTTACCTACCAGGTCCCAGAGCCAGTTGTGGCTGGAGTGACAGAGCGGGTAAGTTCAGGGAGTGGGTGGGATTGTTTGGGGGGTTTTGGCCGAGATTACAATGATAGTGTCTTTACTACAACCCAGGCAGCAGGGCTCCCGATGTCAGAAACCTTGACGCAGCAGCAGAGCACTTCCAGGCAGCTCTGCCCACCCCTCACCTCCACAGAGCCGAAGCGTGGAGAGTCCCAGGGAGTTTTCATGAGCTTTAGGGTTGATGCACTTGTTAGGCCTTGAGCCTCTTGATATTTCCTACTTCCTGTTCCTGTGCTGGTGTTCTTGCCCCACCCTCACCCCTCAGCTTCATTTTCTGTGAGCTCATTGCCCGCCCCACCCCACTCCCCGGCCCCATTTCCCATGGACTCACATTCTACTCTCCTCCTCCTCCCCATTTTGATGTGTGACATTTGCATGTGTGACCACACACTGCAGAGGTCAGAGGACAACTTCAGGCAGTTACCTTTTGTTTTGACACAAGCTCTCCCAACTGGCCTGAAACTCACCAAGTCAGCCAGGCTGGCAGGCCAGCAAGCCCAGAACTACCTGTCTGTCGCCTCTCCCAGTGCAGGGAATTTTGAGCACACATTACTAAGCTAGCTTATTTTCTTTTTCAAAAAAGCAAAAAACAGTCTCCTTGTGTAGCTGTTGCCGGTTTTGAACTCAAGATCCGCCTGCCTCTGCCTCCTGAGTGCTGGGATTAAAGGCACCAACCAGGTTTAGCAGTGCTGATTTTTAAATATGCATTCTGGGGGTGAGGGGGTTGAACTCAGGTCTTTCTGCTTGCAAAGCAAACATTTTTCTGACAGAGCAACCTCCCCAGGCTCCTTTTTATTCTGCGTGATGCCTTACACCTTTAAGCTGGGAACCCAGATGAACGAGATGTGGTCCTGCCGTCAGGGCCACAGCCTAGACTGGGAAGACTTTGTGGGTTCTCAAACAGGAGTGAGGACAAGGTCTATTCAATCAGTGTCCGTTGAGACTGAGCAGCAGCAGAGATCCAGCTCAGGTCCAGCAGGAGAAGATGTTAACAGAGAACCACTGAGGGGTGAGAGCTACAGATAGCCATGTGCTCCAGCCTGGTGCACCTTGGGAAGGGCGTCCTCAGAGGTGGGACACAGGATTTGAGAAGTGAAGGGTGATCGGGAGTTACCCAGGTACAGACAGGTTTGTCCCCATGTCTTAGTTACAGCTACAGTGCCATGATAAAACACCGTGCCCAAGAGTAAGCTGGGGGTGGTATTTGGCTCGTTTCCACACGCCATGAAGGAGCAGTATTTGCAGAAGTCCTGAGGAGAAACAAGGGAGGGAGCTTGGCAGCTGGTAGCTGTCGCTCTGAGGACAGTGTGGAATGGGAGAGCCAGCCTGAGCAGGCTTTATCAGGTGCATTGGTGACATGCCATCCTTATCTGAAAGCGCCAGGGCACCTGCAAAGGGTCTGCAGTCTGGATAACATGAGGACAGGGAGATGGGTGTCTCAGAAGTTTCTGTAGTGACCAGACCAGAAGAGACAGGGAAGAGGCCATTGAAGTTGGTCAGGCCCAGGGAGAGGTAGCCCCTTACAGGAAGTGACTTGCCTTTGCAAAGGTCTCTGCTTGGTAGATTGGACAGGACGTCGGGCCTGGGAGTGCTGCTTGAAAGAGGAGGGCATCTTGGCAGCAGGACGAGGTGGTTGCATGTCCCTTGCTCCTGTGTCCAAGCAGGCAGCAGCACATGAGCTGGCTCGAGGGATTTCTTGGAAGGATTGTTTGATGCTGGGGGTAGAACCCAGGACTGTTTACTGAGGTCATACTGCACACGTGAGTACACCTCCAGGCCTGGGCAGCCTTTTAATGAGTTGTAAGGACACGGTAGGGTAGGCAGAGGAAGGACACCAGCAGGAACGGTGCTCAGGGAGCTGGGCTGGAAGACAGGGCTCAGGTGGGCACACTTCAAAGATACCAACTTATGTCTTCATCCTCTCGAATCTTCCCTTTGTCTGTGAAAGGTTTCTGTACCCTGATATTGGGTTTCTCCACCGACGCAATAAATCAGATCAGATTTAATTAATAAGGTTTAATCTGAGCAGAGCAACTCCTGGATGACTCTCGGGGAAAGGAAGCAGGAGAGAAATCACATGGCGCAGAGAGAGACCATGTCTTAAATACCCTGTGGGCGTGGTCTTGAGCATCTCTGGGGGAGGAGCCGCCCCTTGGTGTGCTTTCTGAGGGGCGGGGTCTGGAATGAGAGTGGTGAGGCAGTAAGGAGATTCCCAGCAGTCTGAAACTTCAGTCAGGAGAGGACCATTGAGACTGTGGCCTATTGGCCTTGGCTCAGCTGCCCTTGGCCTGAGGCACCTGCTCATGCTCTTAACCTTCCTCTCTGCAGGTGAAGGTGGTGAGCCTGAAACCTGAGGTGGCCCAGATCGACCTGTACATCCTTGGCCAGGCTGACCACTTCATTGGCAACTGTGTCTCCTCGTTCACTGCCTTCGTGAAGCGGGAGCGGGACCTGCACGGGAGGCCGTCATCCTTCTTTGGCATGGACAGACCCTCTCAGCTGCGGGACGAATTTTGATCCCACCTGGAGCCCCCGGCCAGGTGTGGCAGCTCAGGGCGCTCCTGGGACTGCAAGCTCCTCTTCTCCCCTGCCAGAGATGGAGACCAGAACCAGGGACTTCCTAGAAGAAGAAAGCATTCCATCCCCGGCACGGGCTCCACAGCCCTCCAGAGCTGCTCTTAGCTGCATGTACTTCCCGGGAACACACACATACAAAGCAGCCCACCTCTGGCTTGGGGCCTGCCCTGCTCTGTGCAGCCTGCAGTGCTGAGCTGTCTCTCAAGCACTTCCTTTATAAAGAGGAAGATTTTTTTTTATAGGGTTTCTTGGCTTGGGGGTGGGGGTCAGGGAGGGAGGAAGGAAGGAGTGAGGTTAAGATGATCTCATAGCCAGGCTGGCCTTGAACTCCTGGTCCTCCTGCCTCTACCCCTAAGTGCTGAGGTTACAGGTGTGTACAAGGATACTCAGCTGATCGCTATAGTTTTGATGCAAAGCCATGACTACCTGAGACCCCCCTCCCCTTGTTTTTAAAAACCAGTGGAATCCCTTAGTACAGATACCTAAAGTGACCTTACAAATACAGACAAAGCCAAGGGGCAGGTGGGCCTATTAGCCACTTTTCCAGGGATCCCCCAAAGGACTCTTAGACTCCTCCCCACTGCCAGACCCAGCCACCTTCAGCCCTGGGCTCCTCTGGTGACTGCTGCAGGCCACAGTTAGTAGTCGTGCTGTGCAGTACTCTGCAGCAGGTAAGTGCTCACACAGCCAGGGACGGACAGACGGACAGACAGACGGATGCTGTTAGGGCCTCAGCACCATCACTGAGCTGGTGGGGATAGCTAGGCAAGCAGGGTGCTCTGAAGGCTGCTGTCTGTAAGATCCTTCTCCCAGCCTCTGCCTGTGGTCTCGGCCCTCACGTAGCTATTCTTCCAGGACTGCTCGCCAGGCCTCCATTAGTGCATAGAAGCCTTGTGAAGCCCCAGCTTGGAAGCCGCAGTGTGGTGAGGTCCTTCTGAGGCTGCAGTTCTCGTTCCTGAGAGTCTTGATTGGGTAGATCTAGATCCTGCCTACACAGGGACACTGAGAGACTGGGGCTTCAGGGGTGGCCGTGCTGACCATCTTGACCGGCACAGGATTCCTGAAGAGCAGGCGCTGGGGCTCTTGCCTGTGGCGAGCACTGTACTCTTTGTCCCAGTTTCTCCCCTCTAAGTGTTGCGTCTGACAGGTTATAAGCTTCTAGTCAGCTAGTGTGCGTTATAAACATGAAAGAGACCATGTCCCCTATGTGGCCATTGTGGAATTAAACTGCTGCTTATTGCTGGCTCAGCCAGGCCAGGCACTGTGCTGGTGCCTTATGGGCATCCTCTTGCTTACTTTGGCCCTGGTATTTTCCCTCTCTTTTTGATGAAAGAGAGAATTATTCTCCCAGGGCTGCACAGCTGTGGATGATAAGCCAGATCTGACCTTAGGATTGCGTTCTCTCCACTCCTAAACTGTTGCTACCCAGGACACTGCACTGTAGGACACCTGGGGAAATGGTGGGCCACCCTGGCTGCTGCTGCTGCATACCTGCTGTTGGCTTCTGCTGCCAGCTCCAGTAAGAGACACAAGAAACAGGAAGCCCACCAGCAGCTTCCAGCCCTCGGGGTAGTTACCTGGTTTCATTCAGGAAGTGTTTACTGATCACCTACTGTGTGCAGAGAAGGACAGGTGCAGCAGAGAAAGCCTCCAAAGAGGGTTGCATTCAGAAAAGAAGAGAAGTACTGTGAAGGAAAGCCAAGGGTATGGGGACAGGGAAGCCATTTTAAGTAAAAGGAGAACTTCCTCAGCTCAGGAGGCTGCACATTGCCAGCAGCAAGCATGGTGCCTGCCAAGGCCCTGAGGAGCGAGCGAGGGAACAGCGGTAGACAGGCAGAAAGGACATTCCATGCACGGAACTTTGTTTGGGGCCACCGGGCCTCCCCACGGGCTTCGGACAGAAGGAGGATCTGGCCTGTGTTTATGAGGAAATGGAGGAGGGGGGGGCCGAAGCAGAGCTGGTGCTGGCTTGAGTGGGTGACCAGCCCACTGGCCTGGAGGTGGGAGAAGAACTGCATTCTGAGTGTACCGAGTTGTTTTTGTAATTCCCTTTTTACAAAGATCCCAATCTACATGACCAGGCAGTATATTCTGTTTAATGTCGGGTTTTTACTTAACTACACATCATGTTTTCACTGTTCACACATAGCTGAGTAAATGCTTTTAATTATGTGAATTTCCACTATTTCCCATATTTGTGATTCACCTACTATGAGACATTCAGTATGTTCCCAGTTTTTACTATTGTGATTTTAAAATAGCTACCTGCAAAGCTTTTTCTTTAAGATACAAATTAGGAGCTGAGCTGTAGTAGCTCATGCTTTTAGTCCCACCCAGCACTTGGGAGGGAGAGGCAAGTGGGTCTCTGAGTTTTGAGTTCAAGGCCAACCTGATCTACAGAGCAATTTCTAGGACAGCCAAGGCTACACAGAGAAACCCTGTCTCAAAAACAAACAAATTATGATAAATTCCCAGAAGTGAATTTGTTCAATATAAGACTTTATATCATAAGAATATTCAATTGTGCACAAAAATTGTGAATCTAATAAACTGAGCTCACAGTATTAACAGTTGTCAGTATTTTACTAGCTAGATTTTTGTTGATTGTTTCATTTTGTTCTCCGTGGGACGGTCTTCTATCTCCCAGGCTGGCCTTGAACTCGATGTAGCCAGGACTTACGATGAAATCTCAGAACTGTCTCAGCCTCACAAGTGCTGGGATTATAGGTGCCCCGGTCCCCTGGCTCCCCTTGAGTCTTTGAATGAATCAGCATGGATGCCCAGTGAAGCGCCAACAGGATCTGCTGAAACATAGTGAGGAAGAGGGAGAGAAGAGCCTCCCCGCTCCTCAAGGGCCCAAGCCACGGGCTGAGCTCGCCCATATTCCACCTCCAAATTCCAGGCACTAAAGCAGTGGGTATCCTTTCTGTGGAGTCCTGCAGGACCAGGCCCTGAGCCCATTCACATCATTGGCCCCAGAAGCCCTCCCTCTGGAGGCAGGAGGGGCTTCCTCCCCAGGCAGCTAAGCTCTCAACTTCCTGTTTGCTCTCTGGCAACAGCTGGGAAAGATGGTCTCACCTTGAGCAAACAGTGTGGGAAAGCACAAGAACCCTTCTGGAAGGCAGTGCCCAGCAGGGTGACACACTCCCAGGACTGCTTCAACCCCTTCTGAGGCTCTCCCAGCCTCCCCAGGCATTTCAGGCAGGATGGCTTGATCTCTCTGGCAGTCCTGTGCCCACTGCTCACAGTTGAAGAAACAGCTTCAGAAAGGCTGAGCAGCCTCCTGGAATGGCGATGCTGTGGCATCACCAAGCACCTGCGATGCATTGGCTAGGACTGCAATTTCAGTGCTCACAGTGACCTGGCAGGGCAGAGTGGAGTGAGGTCACACAGGCTTCACGGGCTGGGGCGGCGTTAGTATGTACGATTTTTAAGTTTTTCTGTGTTGAAAACAAATTCAAGGGCCAGGGAGACGGCTCAGTGAGTAAAGGCAATTGCTGCCAAACCTGAAGACCCGAGTTTGATCCCTGGGACCCAATCAACTCTTGCAAGTTGTTCTCTAAGCTCGACAAGCATGCTATACACACACACACACACACACACACACACACACACACACACACACACACACAGAATAAGTAAAATATAATAAAGTTAAAAAAAATACATAAATTGAATTGGTAGAGTGTTGTAGCACATGCCTTTAATCCCAGCACCCTGGAGGCAG